GGGGGGGGGGGGGGGGGGGGGTGGGCCTATGTGTCCGGAATTTTTTTCTACGTGTACCCGGACGTGAAAAAGCTCGCTCACGCATTAGTGATAAACATCACGAAGTCGGAACTCTACAACTCTAACAGCGTTCAGTAAACACGGGCAGTATGTTGGCGGTCAGCACTCGCTCTGCCCACGACGCTGAAATGGGCAGATCCAACTCCGGCAGGGGTCTTGAGTAAACAGGATATAAATGTCAACATCGATTCGGTAGCTCAACATTTCCTCTTACCATGCGCGGCTCACGCAATAATATCCGTCGAATGCACGAGCGACCAAAAGGGAGCAGGCAAATGTGTGTTCATGTTTGTACCGATGTTGTGTGGTTTTACGTTGGCGTGTCCAACACGAAGAATGGCCTGAATGAGAAAAGCCTTGCCCTGAATGAGGCAGTGGCACTTCGGAGGCCTGGTGACTCGCTCCACCTGCGGCCTGCCTGCACCCGAGGCTCCCGCGTACAGCAGTCGTGCAACTCCACCAGACTGCTGTGTGATGCAAAACAGGGAGAGAACACACGAAAAGCGAGAGGAATTAACTACAGAATGAATTATTGAATGCATGTGCACATGTCTGCAGTGGATGCGGCATACCCTACATAGGGGACGCTGAAAACCGATTTTGATTTTGACTCTGTTTGCAAAAACAATGAAAAGACAACCACCCTCTCCAAGACGACTTATCTCGAGTCCCAACCTGATAAATATGCTACAGTTTTAGCGAGGACAGAATGGGGCGATGGCGTGCAGGATGAAAACGCTCTGGATCTGTTGTGGAGGCTGTGCTGCCGCCACAGGTTGCGGCTTGCTGCAGCGGCAGAAATACAGCTGGTTCAGCGCCAACGGCTAGAACTTGAAACACGCTCAGTATCCATGTTAGATATACTCGCAGCAGTATCTGGTCGTAAGGATCCCAGGTGGATACGTGTTGGGAGTTTCGTGCGTTGTAGGGTACCACCGGTGCAGTCACGGGGACTCTTTTGGCGTGGTGTGTGCGATGAGGCATGTTGCACACTTCTTCCTTCTCTCCTCCACCACCACCGCCGTCTCTCTCCAATCAAGTTCCCCTCTCCCACTCTCTCTCCACCTCTCTCTCTTGGCCTTACACGGCCGACTACCCAGTGCCCCAAGTATCGCCCATGACGGGCTTCCTGCACCCCGCCTTGTTTACCTTTCACACTAGTGCGGTATCACGGTATCTGCGCGCGGGCGTAACCTTCCGCGGGTTGTCCAGTCACGCGCAGTCGGTAGACTCCCACAATAACAGACACCATGGAGGGCATCGACCTCTCCGCCCTTAGCGGGGGAGAACTACAACAATAAGTGGAGGAGATCGTCCAGCAACGAGAACAAGCCGAACTCGAACCCAACAGGATCAACGAGGGTAACGTCACCTACGCCCAACTACCAGCCGGCAACCCAGCCCCACCTACCGGCAACTAGCCATCACCCTCCAGCCAGGGTACACCAGCCACTCAACGATCCCAGCAGCGTCGCACACATCGTGTTGCAAGCGGCTAAGGCGACAGCTGGGGCCATCGCTGAACAACAGGACTTTACCCACTCAGGCACGTTACGTGTCAATCCTGGCTCAGAAATAGAACCTTGGCTTGGTAGCGTGAAAAAGGAGCAGGACTTGTATATAATGTTTGCTATTTTCCGTGGTAAGATGATTTCATGTTTTCAGGAGGAGGGTGTGCTTGATGCGTTGGAACTGAGGTCGAAGTCGGTCGAGGTGTGAATGTAGCAGAGCTTCGGAGACTTTTTGGCAATGATGTGGTAGAAAAGTTTTTCAAACTTTGGAATATTCTCATCAGCAAGGTTTTGTACCCCCGGATTCAGAGCTTGATTCTGGCGTGTGAGAGTCCTCAAATAGGCTGAAAAATTGTAACAGAGTGCTTCCTATCAGGAGAAGAAGCAGTTAGAAAAGTCGACGTTGGAGCAGGACTGGAAAGAGTTGGAGATGAAAGAGTCCGACAGTCCACAGGACTTTATTGCCCGGGCAGAAGTCCTTTGCCTGCGTCTTGCATCTGTAGGGACGATTAAGGATGAAACAGATGCCAACAAAGACATTGCTCGTGGCCTGCCCTCTTCGTTGTATGCCGTGCAAAAAGGAATACTACTTGTCCATGATGTCCTGACGTTGCGTACCCTTGAGACTGTGGTGAGGGACGCCCACGTAGAGATGGAGCGCGAGAGGACCAAAGGGGAGAGGCGCGAGATGGAGCTCGCTTTTGCCGCGTCCGGCATGGGCCGGCGCGGCGGGGGAAGTGGGGGGGCATCCGGGGATCACGACAGCGGTCACGCAGCAGCTGGCGGCCACGATCGTGACGGAGAGAAGAATAAGGGTGACGTGTTCAACGACGACCTCTACGGATTTTGCCGCTGCCACCAGTCCGAGCTTCACACCAACGAGCAGTGGCGTTTCCAGCAGTAACTGTGGCGCGCGCGTTCGAAAGAGGGCGCCGACGAACGCCGCTTGGGCGGCGGCAGCCGCGGTGGCGGCGGTAGCCAGCGAGGGGGTACACCGCCGCCGGGGCCTGGCCGCGGTGGCGGGCGATGGGTGAGGATAGAAGGGCAGCAGCACCACACCGGTCATGGTGGCGGTGGCTGCAGCCAAGCCTCACCCCCCCCCGCGACCTGTTCGTGGTCGTGGGCCTGGTGGTCGTCTGGGGCGTCACCCGGGGGGTCGTGGGCCTGCGGGACGCCACAGCAGCGACGATCGTGCCCAGAGAGAGCGGGCAGGGAGAGAGCCGGGGCACGCGCGTCCTTGACACGGAAGAGAGCAGGCGTACGTTGTTACTACGCCCACGATGATGGTGGCTACTACGAAGACTACGGCGACTACGACGACGGCTNCCGGTCATGGTGGCGGTGGCTGCAGCCAAGCCTCCCCCCCCCCCGCGACCTGTTCGTGGTCGTGGGCCTGGTGGTCGTCTGGGGCGTCACCCGGGGGGTCGTGGGCCTGCGGGACGCCACAGCAGCGACGATCGTGCCCAGAGAGAGCGGGCAGGGAGAGAGCCGGGGCACGCGCGTCCTTGACACGGAAGAGAGCAGGCGTACGTTGTTACTACGCCCACGATGATGGTGGCTACTACGAAGACTACGGCGACTACGACGACGGCTACCACTACGTCGACGGCTACTACGACGCCGGGTACGCCCACTACGCCGGCGGTGGGGACAGCTACAGCTACTCCTCCGGGTACGAAGACAGCCGCTCATCTGACGGCGGCATCCTCTACGTCTACTACCCTCCTGCCGGCGAAGATTCGTCATCCGAGCAGCCACGTCAGCCCCCCGCCGCGAATAGCAGTAGCATCGCTTCCTCCTCTTCCTCTACCCCTTCTCCTGGCGCGTCTCCATCTTCGGGCTACGTCCACCTCTGCACGGCACAATCAGTGCCCCTAGGCAAGTCTCACCCCGACGATTTTTTTGGTAGGATAGGAGTGACGATTGTAGAGTCTGCTGCGTCTGCTTCGTCTTTGCTGAGTGTGCAATCTAGTCACGGACGGCCTGGTAGCGAGAGATGGGTAGCTGACTCAGGTTCAAGCAACAGTTTGACAAACAGCAGCCTGCACATGTTCGACCTGCAAGAGCTTCCCGCCAGTAGGAAGTATGCCGTTGTAGGTGGTGGTCGATTTGCTCGAAGTGCAACCTATCGGTAGCATCAATCTTTGTTTCTTTCAGGAGGATGAGAATGGTGAAAAAACGACGATGCGTGTGAATGACAGAAGTGTCTGTAGTAGAGAGCCTGAGCTTCAACTTGTTCTCAAGGCATGCTGTTTCTCTGAAGTAACAAATCCTTCACGACGAGCGTGGTGCGACCCTCCCAAATGGACTGCGCTTTGATAGAGAGGGAAAAGCGTCTGCAGCGTATGCCAGGCGGTTGCCGTACGACCCATTTGCGCCTGTAGTAGATTCTGCTTTGACCGCATTCGTGACTGCCCCCGATGCCGCCCCCGCCGTTGGCTCCACGCGTTCCCCTTCCGAAAAAGGGTGCTCCGCGGAATCATCCGTGTCCTCGTTGCGCTTTCCACCCGCTGGCGATGCTAGCGTAGTACCTTCGAGTGAGAGCGATCCGCCCGCTGGTCCCGCCAGTGTAGTAACTTCGAGTGAGAGCGTCCCGCCCGCCGGCTCTGCCGACGTAGTAACTTCTTCGGCGTCCGAGTTTGTGTGTGTGGGTAATTCTCCGGGTATGGATCTTGGAGATACCAGTGTGCTCACTGACGAGCAGCTATTGGATGGCAATGAAGACACCCCGTATCAAAGAGTTTTCCCGTGTTTATCCCAGAGAGTGACGCTGCGAATGTGGCTGGTGTTTTGGATAGCATTGATGGGGATGTTGATTTTGACTTGGGTGCGGCAGCGCTTGGCCCTGGTGCGTCCCCATTTTCTCTTGATTCAACTGAAAGGTCCGTTGACATGAACCGCTTCCACCGTTCCCTTGCCCACGCTTGCGAGCCTCTTTTGAGAGAAACTTCCCAGCAGAGAGGCATCGTGCTCACGGGCAAGCTGGAACCGTACACGGACTGCATGATGGCGAAGGTCAGGCTAGGGTCGGTGGACGTGTTCACCTGGACCTGTGTGAACCGCTGGTGCCTTCCCTCGGCGGCAACCTCTACCTGTTCGTCGCCGTCGACAGCGCCTCGCGGTGGAACAAGGTGTACGGTCTCCGGCGGAAGTCCGACTCGCTGGAGGCAACGAAAGGCTGCTGGCGGACGTGGGGCGGTACGACCTCGGGCGCATCGAGTGTTTCCGCGTCGACAACGGCACCGAATGGACCCGCGGCGACTTCCGGTGCCTTTGCGACGACAACGGCATCGGCGTCGAGTTCACCCCGCCTGGCACTCCGAAGTACAACGGCGTCGTCGAGAGCACCATCTGGCGGATTATGAAGGCCGGCATGGCCGCCCGCCGCAGCGCTGGTCGTGTGTTCAACGTCGACTTCCTCTCCATCCCCGGCCTCGACGAGGGCGGTGACCGTCTTTGGATGAAATCGGCGAAGTGGGCCGCCGAGGCTCTCGACCAGTCGGCGACCAAGGCCAACCCCGGGCGGCGCTCGCCGCACGAGATGTTCACCGGCGAGCAGGGGCCGTTCCGCGTGCTGCCGTTGTTCCAGCCCGGCTTCATGCGCGAGGATCGCCGCACCAAGCTCGACGACCAGGCCACCCCCTTATACTACCTGAACGGCGGCGACAACCACCCGAACGGCACCGTCAAAGTCCTCAAGGCGTCCACCAACCGCGTCGTCCACACCAACAACGTGTCGAGGGTGACGTCGGCGCCAGCCGGCGAGTGGGGTTTCGCTGGTATCACCGCTGCGCCGACCCCCCCCCCGTTCACGCCGCCGGTCGACTCGATCAACATTGGCCCAGCACCGACGCCTTCGACCACCGCACCGCCGCCGCCAGCGCTCACGCCGTCGCCCGCTCCTGCTCCCGCTGCCGCTTCCCCCCCTGCCGCATAGCCGCCCCCGCGACCACGCCGCCGCCCGCTCCCATTCCTTCACAGCCGCCCTCTGCCGCTTCGCTGTCACCGTCGGCGACCCCCGATCCAGACCAGCCGCCGGCGCGGCCAAACCCCGCGATGCCCCCGCTTACGGCTCAAGCCATGCGGCAGCTTCGCCCGGGTACAAAGGCCGAGGGTATGAAAGACCTGCGGCTGCCAAGCCGTACGAGATCGGGCACAAGGCACAGCACAGGACTCATCTCGATGCTATACAAGAATACTCTGGTGTCGATGCTGGAGGCTCGGAGCGCGGTGGATGAGGAGCGCGGGGACCTGACGCCAGCGGAGGCCGGAGAGCCGAGGGGAGCGGGGGGCGGAGAGCAGGCGGGAGCACTCGCAGCGGCGGACCCTTTCCACTCGCATTTGCCACGCTTCTCGCCAACCGGGAAGACATCGACGCGACGCTGCGAGACCAGCGCCCGCCGCAGCAACGCCCTGACCTTCCGNAAGAATACTCTGGTGTCGATGCTGGAGGCTCGGAGCGCGGTGGATGAGGAGCGCGGGGACCTGACGCCAGCGGAGGCCGGAGAGCCGAGGGGAGCGGGGGGCGGAGAGCAGGCGGGAGCACTCGCAGCGGCGGACCCTTTCCACTCGCATTTGCCACGCTTCTCGCCAACCGGGAAGACATCGACGCGACGCTGCGAGACCAGCGCCCGCCGCAGCAACGCCCTGACCTTCCGCACTGCCAGGCCAGCGACCTTCGTGTTCCCAAGAGCTACAAAGAGGCCATGGCGTCGGAGCACCGGCACCTGTGGAGCGACTCTGTGCTAAGGGAGCTTTATGGGTTGTTGGAAGCGGGGACCTTTACTCCGGCGAAGAAGCAATTAGTGGAAAACGCAATTAACGCTAAGTGGGTTTTTGATTGGAAGGCAGATAAGTTTAGATGGCCCACTTAGGTTAAGTCGAGATTTGCAGCGAGAGGTGATATGCAGAGAGAGTACATTGAATTTGGAGAGTTGGACGCGCCTACCGCTTCTGTTTCGTGTGTTAGGATGTTGGCTGCTTTGGCGTGCGAGTTGAACCTCGACTTGTGTCATTTCGATGTTGAGCAAGCTTTTGCGCGTTCGGAGTTGGAGGAAGACGGGTACATGCGTTTGCCGCAGGGATGTGGAGCTCTGTCTGGAATGATTGTAAACCATGCAATAGTCTGTATGGCTTGAGACAGGCATCTAGGCAGTGGCATGCAATGCTGAAGAGGTGTTTTGGTGGCGCTGGGTTTTGAGCAGTGCATGGCCGATGCTTGTCTGTTTCGTTTGACTGGGGATGGATGCGTTGTTATGATTTTGGTAGTACATGTAGATGACATTTTTGCAGTGGGAGAGAGAGAGAGATCTGACAAGTTTGGCGCCGACCTCAACAAGTCCGTGCCAGTGAAGAACCTGGGAGAGTTGATATGGTATTCTGGGTGCTGTTACGAGAGGAACAAGGAGACCGGTAGATTGACGACTTCTCAGCAGACTGTCACGGATGAGCTAGCAGCAGAATATGGAGTAGTGGGAGGTAAGAGCGTTCCGATGTCTTAGGGGGTGAAGCTTTCTGATTTTGATACGGATGAGGTGGCGACAGCCTTTCCATTTCGTGAGTTGGTAGGATCGTTGATGTGGCTGGCGACTCGGACTAGGCCAGACATTGCGAATGCAAAGGACAGTAGCTAGGTACGCGCATCTCCAAAGCTGTTACACTGGAATGCAGCGATGGATACATTAGGCTATGCGAGGAGGACGAGTCACTTTCGTATTTCGTCTCAGAGAGGTATGGTAAAGGGTTTCAGTTTGCAGGGGTACGCTGATGCGGACTTAGCAAGCAAGGCAGCAAACCGTAGGTCGGTATCAGGGGGGATCGTTATGTGTGGAGGAGGCGCTGTGTCTTGGTTTTCCATAACTCAGAATTAAGTGTGTTGCGCTTTCGACCACAGAAGCAGAGTACGTCGCGCTTGGTGACGCAGTGAAGGAGCACCCGTAGCCAATCGGCTACCCCTACAGCCACCTTGCAGGCTACTTGGCCTTGTACAAGACCCTGTCGCACCGTGGCGGTGTCCATATCCATGACAAGGTCATACACTGCCACACATTGGCTAGATATGGGTCTGGGCACGATGATGGTGTACCAGCATGTTCGCGCGAACAGGAGACAGAGAGGTACCTCACCACCGACGAAACGGCACTCTTGGCAGTTGTGCGGCACAACAAACACATTTTTTCTCTTTTGGACACACACCGCCGGGCATCCTCGGCCGGCAAAGCGTGACAAGGTCATATACTGCGAAACCCAGCTAGATGTGGGTCTGGGCACGATGGAGTACACCCGCATGCTCGCTCGAAACAGAGACTAAAATTGTGTGCCTGTAGACGGACAAACGGTCGTTGGGGCACAACAGCAATGTATCTACGGGGTGGGCGGTGAGAACGTTTTTTTTTTTTTTTGGAACCGGGGGGGGCACCCCCCGGCCGTGACGAGTCGGGCAGGTGTACACCATTTCCTTCCGCCGTGCAGTAAAAGTCATTACACACATACAGGTGTAGTTTTCGTTGCACGCCGCGCGATTGCGCGCGCGTGCCTCCGTTTTTTTTAGGTCGGACACACGACACCAGGCACACACAGAGAGGCAACACCGCGGCCGAAAGATATATAGTCTATACTTCGTATATAGCAGTACTGAATCTGCCTTTTTGTCGAAAAAAAGCACAACAACACACACTCTGCCCGCGCATGTGCGCATCCCTCGGCGATCATACCCACTATTCTCGTATTGAAGTATTGACTCTCCAACAGAGGAAGAAGGTAGGCGGATTACTTCGTATACGTATAATTTAGTCTTTGTTTCATGACTTGTATCGGGGTGGCTGTTATGCCCCTTCAGGCTGCAGCCCGTTCACCGCGTGATGTCCGTGAGCCGGCATATCGCCCAACTGCTGTAGGCATCATCCTGTTCCGCCCGCACGGACCGCACAGCCACCTTTTTTTGCGTAGGGCAAGCAAACGGGGGGTAGAGTAGGCCGTCAAGTCAGAGCCGAGAGGGGAAAATCATAGCAAAGTACATACATCCGGCGAAGGCGAACGCGGGAGAGTAGCAAGCGATCCAAGGTACTCACCTCTCTAGGCTCTGACACGCCCGACGTGCTCAGACGAAAGTGTCTTCGTTGATGGAGTGGTGACACTCATTCAATATGTACTGATGGAGTGGTCCCCGGCGTAGCCTGGCGGAATCTGTGGCGCCAAGCGCCAGCCCCATGACCCGACCCTTCGCCGCCCGTCACTACCCCTCAAACGTGAGAGCTGCCAGCTTCACCTTCGCCGCTCAGCGAGCATGCGTGGTAGAGATGAACCTGCCGATAGTTGGAAGATACAGGGTACACCGCCGGACGGCCGCGGGCTCGAAGGTTCAGCGTCGGATGCCCGGTGATCGAATCGGGGACGCAGTCGTTGGCGTGGGCAACCCCATTGTAGCCGCAACCGAGCACCCACCACGTGAGCGGTGGTGGGTTCCCACCCATTACAGGCCGATTGCCCTCGTGGCGGAAGAAGTACAGAATCTTAACCAGGGCTAGATCTGTAGGATCCACACGGCCCGCCGCGGGCATCGGGGAAAGTTGCTTGTACACCTCTACGTTGTCCCCTCCGCCACTCCCGAGAGCCCACTCGTCACGCGGCCCAGCCTGCGCCGCCGACTTTACGTCGCCGCCCTTCAAGCGACCAAGGCCACAACTTGCTACCATGGGTACCGGGGTGTACCGGGAGCAGTCGATGGAAACTTGTTGAAGGGTGTCTCCGTCCCAGCAGTCCGGGCAGCGGCTGCTTGAGCACGGACCCGCCATGCTGTGTCCGCAGTACGCCCGGTATGCGCGCAGTAAGGTCTGTTCGTCTTGGCGGAACTTGCTGGACGCCAGACGAGTACGCCATTCGCGATCTAGCTGCTGCTCGTCCCGGTTGTTGAACAGAGAAGCGGTCCACACCGCAGATCCCGGGTACTGTCCGCTAAGCTCTGCTGGTGTCTGATCCGCCTCCGCGTGAATGTCTGTGGGCACATGGTCATGGCCGAGGAAGCTCGCCAGCGACTGCATGAGACGGACACAGCCATCACCGGATTGAACGGTGATGATCTCGTGCGTTCTGTTCTGTCGGTTGTTCCTAGTGACTCTGTACGGCAGCCCGTTGGATAAAAGCCAAGAATGCGCTGTTGACGTTCGCCCGCTTAGCCATGTGCAGTGAAGGCCTCCTACCGCAGTCCACCCCCCTTCCAGACTTGTTCTCCTGGTGGGTGTGTTCACCCGTGCTGGCGTCCGGGCATATTCCTAGTCGTTTCGTTCAACGTGTGTTGCAGGCGGCGAGAGGTCACGTGAGGAGCTCGGCGTGAGTGCGGTTTTCAGATATACATGGACAGTGAAGCACTATCAAAATGCTTGGTTGAGTGGTGGGTGAGTGGCGCAACCTCCCTCCTCCTCCCCCCCCGCAATGCCCATCGTGTCTTTCGGCGGTGTTCTTAGCTGCAACGATCCAGCTAATGGTATTTAATAAGGCCAACCCTAACCCACGACCCACAATCCATATTCCAAACGCTCTCACCGTGCAGACGAATCGCCTCTACCGCATGTAGAATGGAGTGTATGGTGGGCCGCGATCCCATCCTCCCCAATATTTTGGAAAAGGCTTCGACCTGAAAGTCGAGTACGTCAAGAGTCATTTGCTTGCCATTCTCTTTACTTTTTGTGGAGCACGAGGTGTTATGGTCTTTTGTACAAAGTCTGAACACTGGTACTGTAGGGATGAAAATTGTCCTGTATTCTGTTGTCATGAATTTTTGCGCGCAGACACTATGCATTTGTTTTTTGTTTTTTGTGCGACGTCACGTGTCGTGTATAGGTACCAAAGCGTAGACACCAAAGAACTTGGCGATCGCTCCACGCCCAGCAAATACGGCACCAACCAGAAACGGCCCACCGTCGCTTTGACGTAAGACAGCAGGGGTGTTTTCGCGCACCAAACTTGTGCATCAGCTCTCCGACGCAACCAGAATGGGCAAACGCCCGATGTGGACGTAAAAGTCGTGGGCGTCCAAGGCACGGTGCTTTCCGTTGCAACCTTTGTGGGCGTTTTTTCTGTGTTTCGCGAAAAGTCGGAGACAAGAAATATCGACCTAGTCTTGTGTTTGTTTTTTTCTCATTCGGATGGACACGACGCCCCCGCGCTGCATGCTTGAACCTCTCGCAAGCGATGGCATTTTGCGATCAAACTAGCTGTATTGTGGGGCTTTACTGCCGCGTGTGATTGTAGGAGCGACGACGCATTAACAGGGTGTGGCCATGCGGCCGTTGGCGCCGGCCATTGTGCCCTCTCTAGTATTGTCCTACTGCACGCAGAGTCAAATTACCGTGTCCCCCTCAAAAGAACGAACTGACGAAGAGGATCAGAACATACCGCGTCACGCGCGAGTTTTGTCGAGTTGCCGTAGCTCCGGTTCGGTGAAAGATGGCGCGCGGACGGCGAACGACAGGAGAGACGACCGTCTCATAAGCTGCCGCAGCGCCTCCAAGACTTTGTCGAACGTTCCCCACTCCGTGACGAGGTCGTTGATCTCCCTTGTCTTCATGTTTCTCCTCTGCCAGGTAAGCATCATGACCGGGAGTCATGACCGCACAAATAAGGGCTGAGGTGTCTCCCTGTACCGTGGTGAGGTGCCACCCTTTGACGCACCTAAAATGCTACTCTTTGTGTGGGTAGTTCGAGTGAGGCACGTCGAGATTCGCCCGTGCGTGTGGACCTGAGCTACTGTGATTCCTCTGCGAAAGAACCGTGGAAGGACAAACAAAATAATGTGTGTTCTACTTCTGCAAACAGAAAATGTGTCCACAACTTCGAGAGGGGTGATGTGCACCGCGCCGCTGCCAGAGCGTACCGGGTGAAGTTATTATCACGCTTCTCGTGCTCTAGCCAGGGAGGGGTACGAAAACGAATGTATAGCTCTGCAAACCGTAAGAAGCATGGATGCGGGAGACATTCCGTTCGGCGGGAAATACTCATGAGTACATGCATGTATTGTATGCAATACTACGAAGTAGTGACTTCTCTCGGGAACCACGAATGCCTGACTACGCTATAAATGTTCTTACCATTGCCAAAACATCCTGGAGAACCATCCGGAATACGAGAAGCATGATCGATTGCAATGTCCACTTGTCGCTGCCATTCACAGAAACGTAGTTGGTCACGACATCCTTCAGCTTCCGCGTTCCGGGTGGGTAGAGTAAAGACGGCTTCTGGGCCATGATGGCTGAGACAAGCCGACGACCTGAATCGGAGAGCATCTCCAGGAAGAACACCTGGCAAAGCTGACTTTGCCCCTACCGGCAACGGTGGTGGGATGCGGCGCAGACAAGGAGAGAATGCAGCACGTAGCCGAGGAGGTGATGGTGTGGGCGATCACAACAACCGTCGTTCCACTACTTACTGAAGTGCATCCGTCGGAACTTCGAACCTCTTGAGGACGGCGTATCATCTTGGAGTTCTTGGCGTCTTTCGACGTGGTCAACGTGTGTCCCCTGGGAGTCTCTCACGCGCAGGGTAAATTTGTATAAAAACATCACTCACCAGCGCATCGAAGTGCAGTCACTCGACGGGTACGTTCTCCGTCGGAACAATGCGCATTGCGATGTAAAGAGGGAGGGGGAGCCCTGAGGCATCCGGCGGAACCAGTCTCAGGTCTCTTGATCTTCGATCCTGCTCGTGAGGGACATCCGCGAGGGCATCCAGCTCGGACAAGCCATCCGTTATCTGGTCCCACGTGCGGCGATGCTTGTCGATGTCAAACCTTGGGTTTTCCTAATCGCCGCCGGTATCATCGTCGCGTTGACTCACCATGCAGTACGCGCACGGATGTTTGGACCAGTTGTTGGGAGCCTTCGTGCCGAGACTTTTCGAGCGCCCTTGTCCATCCCCAAACATCTGTATGGTACACCCCGCTTCCACACCCGAACATTCGGAGGTACGCACAGATAACTATTGTTGTCGATCTTCCATGATCTCAGTGAACCTAGACCGTACCGCTTGCTCAAACGCCGCCCGTGCTTCGTCTGTCAGCTTGCACCGCCCCAGGCATCCATTTTATAGCCGTCCGAATATTTCGCACTGCAGGCCGGTCTCCCCCTGGCTACAAGCTCCCGGGCTCGCGAGAGTGCCGACGTGCGTTTGATGTTGTAACCGCTGAACCGCTGGCGTTCGCCAAACCCATCCAAAGTAGGACCCTCCTATGGAATGCTGTAAACCACAACATCCCATGCATGTGCATAGACGAAGGATGGAGGGATCACGGTGAGCTATTGCGAATTAATCACCCCCGCTCGGGGATAGATCTGGCGGGACCCGCAAAAACGTAACAGTGGTGGTCCTTCTTGTGTCATACATATTCCGATATCTTCCCGTTAAACCATCTCAAAACCNNAAGCTCCACCTCTCAGTGGTAGTCCGGCTACAGCGTATCGCGCAATCTCGCTCTCAATCAGATACTTCGCTCTCAATCAGGCGAATATGTTGTTACTCTCAACTTGCATCCCATTCCAAAGGCGTTGAATGCATCGCAGTGAAACACCGTCGACGCGGAGTAGTTGGGCAGATTCATGTCGTTGAGATGTACGCTCTCACATCGCAGCCCCCAAAGCGGCTGTTTGCAGGACCCTCGGCGCACCACGGTGTCTCCGTCACCGCGAACAGCTTAGGCCTGGCGTTACTCTGCAGTGCTCGGTTGGTACTAGTTTGTCTTACAAAACCTTCCCCGAAAAAGCGGTCACATGAGTACGGGTGGCCAGCTGCCGCCATCTCGTGCGCCGTCTCCATCTCAACCAGCCCCAAACCGTCGTTGGCCTTCAACTCCAATTTGCAGGTGTGCAATCCTCCCACACCCGTAACAGTCCGCCACGTCCCTCTCCATTCCACACGCCGCGTACCTCGCTCGCCCCCCTGAACAGCCGCACGGTTACTAGCACCAACCGACGTTCTCCATCGTCGAAGATCTCCAAATTTCGGCATAGGTTAGCCACTCACTCGACCTCGCAAACACAAGTGTCGGTGATGTACACCTTCCTCCCTCACACTCTTGCTCGTATGCCGTCAATCCGAAGAATGGGGTTGACCTCGCGAGGGTGCCGTTGTGGTTTGAGTTTACGACGTTTCCCTCTCGCCGTGTAGCCACGCAGTTGATGTGGTCACTCGTCAGCGAATTTGCGGCTGCCTCTTCTCCACGCAATAGCTCCCATCCCGGGTACGCCTCCGACAGCACAGTCTCAGAGGGAATCTGCATGACACGTTCGAGCAGCAGATTGACCGGGAGGTCGTACACGACAGATGATGTCGTTCCGTCGTGTATCGACGGAACGTCCCGCTCCAGCAGCTCTAGCAGGGGCAAGTACGTCCGCATGCGATCATAGAAGTGCTCGGGGTCGACGCCTGCGAGCCCACGTACGTCAAACGGTTCGCCCTCGTACTGCATCAAGAGTACTTCTAGAAGCCCTCCCAATGCCCTTTGCGAGATCCGATGTACATGCTGCCAGACGAAAAGTAGTTGTTGTTCCTTTGTACGAAAGGGGTCGAAAGGAGAACGTCCGGCTCTTGTGTTCTCTCTCAATTTATCGGCGCCGCCCTCCACCGTCTTACTCGATGCGTAAGACGGCGTCATCGTATGAAGCCAATTTAACCTGGGGGCAGATGATGCGCCACCATTTTGTCCAGGAGGCAGGAATACCTCAGGTGGCAGGACTACCTCAGGCGTCCCATCGGTCCCTCTGTTGTCCACGTTACCCTGGAAATCGTCGTATCGTTCATCGTCTAAGCCGATGTCACCCTCCTCGCCCCCGCTGTCCATGTCTCCCCCGGCTTCGACGGTACCCTCGTTTTCCGTGCCAGTGCCTTCCCCGCTCACCCCAAGACTCTCTTCGATCCTCGCCAATAGGTCTTCGAGTCCACCGTCGGCGCATTTTTCATCATCTTCTCTTCCATCAGCGCTGCGTGAGTCGTCACCCGCACCACCGAAATCGTCCCCTGCCCCGACGTCGGACGTGCTGTCGGGCACCTTATCTCCGTGCGACCCTGTCCGTTTGACGGCACCAAGAAGACGTTGATTGCGAACTCATGAGGATTCGTCGAGAAACGCCGAGCATCCGGGGAATGTGCATAAGGTTCTATACGCGAGGCGTTCATTCGACGTGCATACCCTCATCTTGTATTTTGCCTACTCTAGCTCCACCACCTCCTTCGCAATGCCTCAGGCGCAAAGCACACCGAGCAGCAAACATAGCGCCTGTGGCTTAACCCCGGCTAAAAAATTGTCTATCAATTTCACCCATCTGAGGAGAGATCGGTGCCGCGCGTCTACTGTCTGAGCTGACTTCTGCGAGTGGATGCGTAATGGAGGGTACTCGCTGAGCATGCAGTGTGCGGTGTGTTGTATCTTTCGTGTACATTTATCGCACAGCGTCTCAACAGCGCGAGCCACCAGGAAAAAATAAGTCCCGTTCAATATGCATGGCGCCCTGCGTCGCCACATCTTGCTCGTTGGAACTGCGTGTGTTGTCATGAAGAACCTGAGCATGAGCACGGCACAGTTAGCGAGCAAGTACGTGGTGTATATGAAACAACCATACTGCTGTTGTAGCCAAAAAAACTCCCGCACCGGCTCTATTGGTGCTCCTTTGTCTACACACGTAGCGCACCTTGGGCATGCGCTGTTGCATCGTTTCCTCGTACTCTCACGGCTGGAAGGTACGACCCTGCACCACTGCGTGCACCCCCCTCCCTGCACAAGGTGGTCCTGTGCTATCGCGGTACTGATGGTGCGGAGAAATCGAACGGATTCGCCACGCGGAAATGGCCACGTTCATCGCGGCAACAATTACACCGCTCTTGTTGGAGCCTTTGAGCGTATTCCTTGCCGCATCCTTCACACGCCCATACCGCACATAAGCTCAAAGAGTCTACCCCCTGGCGAACCTGGCATCCCTGGCGGGCCTGACATGCCGGAAGTGCCGTCTCTCGTGATTTCGTGTTCATGTGAACTCTTTCAAACCAGCGGCCCCCCTTCCCGCCACAGCAAGTTATTGCCCTGCTCGCAGCTCAGTCCGCGCGTGTTCCCACATGATAATGATGGAAAACTAAGCGGGAGGAAGCTGCGAGCGACAAGCACTGGACCCGTGATGTGAGTTTGAAGTAATATGTGCCTTTCCGGCGTTGTTTACTCCTGTCCGTTGGCCTTTTCGTTCCCTTTTTCCCCGAGAGACCAGAAATTCACCCATCTCCCATCTCCCGCCGCAGAGCGTTTGCCGCCCACCCCTCTTCATTCACCCTTCGCACCAAAAACCAACTCCTAGGAGCTGGTCTGAGTTGGTCTTCTTTTCTCACACCCCGCTCCCTTCATCACCAATCAATGCCTTCTTCTCGTCGGAGCGTCCAAGGCCGGGCTGCCGCTGCCTCACGCCTGCCCCTTATTACCGTCATCAACAACAACGATCGCGGGCGCTCTTCTCGTCGCACGTCCACCACCCGCGCGCGTCAAGCCCCCTACTCCTCCCGCCAGGGAAAAAGGCCCAAGAGAACCTCTATCGCAGCCTTGGAGGTAAGTTTGTGCAGACGTGCGCCTTGTGTCCTCCTCCCCGTCGCTTCCAACGAAGGCCTCTCTGTTGGTGTTGTTGCGGGTCTCGAGCGCAAGTGTTTGGGATCCACGGTTCAAGCCGCAGAAAAGCCATTAGTTTTTCTTTTTTTTCAAACTGGTGCAACAGTTTCAAAACCGTTTTCCACCAGCTTTCTGTGGCAACGCCCCCCTCGTCCTTGGTCTGGGCGGCGGCCTAAAGATGGATGCGTGTTGTCATATTCACACCCGAAGTTTTTGCGCCCTTTCGAGCGAAATCCCGTCCAGCACCGCGAGAGAAACAGGCTGGCATGTGAGATGTTTTCAAAACCAACACCATGTGTCACAGATAACCAGTAGTCGAACTCTACCATTCTGTAGCGGAGTGAACGAATGTTCGATGTTTAAAGTATAATACAACGATGCAAGTCCCGCGGGGTTAATAAAGAGAGGCTTGATTCCAAGTATGAATGCGCCTTTGGAGAGGTTGGGGGGTTGAAATTTGACCATTATTTTCAAACACTTCTTTACCAGGGTCCTATCGTTTTCGTGTGATGCATACATATGTAAGTAGTGTAGGTGTATGCGGGTTGCCCTCTCTTTTGTTGCCGCTGCCTCACCACCCCACCCGGCGCCCATCCCCCGACCCCCGTAGTATATTTTCCTGGGTTTGAGAGACGTGCGGGCCTGGGAAAACGCACGTAGCTGGCCGACTGTTGTTTTGGGCGGGTGTTGTACGCCTCATTTACCGCATGTGCGTTTATTCGCACCCACCCCTTGGCGCAGCTGCACCTGTGTTGCAATCCACACAAGAACTATATTCATTCCCCTTTCTTGTGTCCTCAAGAATCGATCACACGTGGCCCCCCATTTTCTTTCTTATAAACCGGGAGAAGCAGTTATTTCGCCAAAGCTCTTGCTGTAGTGTCGATCCGAAATTCGAACTTCGCAAGGGGGTCTTGAGATACACTAGCAACAGCAGTGTGCCGCGGGCCATTTGTTTGAGTATTGCCTCCGCGTTTCCTGGCAGAAGTTGGCGATTTGACCAGATCCGGAAGCCATTTCTCATATTTTTGGAGGCAGACAAGGGAACGCGCATTGCAGATGTCTTGATCACAGAGCAGCATAGAGGCAACATCGGTTTGAGCGCTCTAGGCCAGATCCAAAATTCGGACTAGCAGGGTGCCTTCTTGTACACATGTCTCTACGGCCGCCGAGTTTGAAGCGTTTTGGTGCTCTCTCCAACCCGTGTCAGTCGATTGAAACTGCTTGGCGGAGACACAAGATTGCGTTCGAAAATAGAGCATTTCCCGTGTTTGTGCAGCACCGCTCACACAGCAGCTCTCCTTGCCAAAGACAAATTACGGAATAAAAACTGCTTGCGGACGAGGGGAATAAGTATCCTGAGAGACCCTGCTCTTTTCGTTGCACCCAGTTCTGTGTCTGACGAGCATCAGTTGTTGGCATGTACAGGACACGAGTTGATTCTGCAAAAAAAATCGAGAGGGGACGCGAAGACCCAAAATCCCGAACCAGCAAACACGCCTCGCATTTTCAACACAGTTTTTTTTCTTTTTGTGGGGGTTGCGACACAGGTGGCTAGCGATTCGGTTCTCCACCTCTCTATCCGCAGTTTGCATACGGATATAACACTCCCAACCTTGTCGCGCCTTTCACCCCATGCTCTCGTAGGAGTCGGACCTGGAGGACTTCGCGTCGGAGTTCCACCCCTCCGACTGCCAGGCGGACACAGACAGCGACGTTGAGTGCACGCTGGACTCCAGCGGCGACTCGCCGAGGCCCGACCTCCTGGCCAAGCCCAAGCGGAGGAAGCCGGGCCCGCAGATGCGCTTCGTCGACGACAGCCCTCGCCCGTTCACGGACAGCCCTCGCCCGGTCACCAAGGACAGCGCCGCGGGCGACGCCGAGGCCACATCTCGCGCCAGCGGCATGATCGCGGTGCTCGGCGCTCATTCCACCCCGGGGTGGGTGGGTCGTCCTTTCGCGGTGGGGGCGGGGCTTCTCACCAACGTCCTCGTCAAGCTGTTGCTCGTACATAGTCAGCACCGAGCTCCGTTTCTTCCCGCCCGCCTTCCTCCGCGGCTTCGACGACTGCTCGCCCCGCGACGACGGGCCAGCGTCCCACCTCTGGCGGCACGGACCGGCCTGGACACGGTGGGGAAGGAGGCTCTTCTCGCCGTGCGTCCGACCCCAGCACCTCGGCTGCCGCCGGGGGGCTGTCATCGCAGGGACGCGGCAGCTCTACGTCTTATCGAGGGCGTGCCGTCGGCTACATCTCCCGCGAAGAAGCGACACCAGCCACGACGGGGGGAACTGCTGACTCATCTTCGGCCCCGCCCAGCTTCACCCGGATCGGGGGAGGGTCTTCACACATGCCGGGAGAAGGCGGCGGACGTTTAAGCTCAGTGGTCATCACCTCGGATATGAGCCGCGAATCATTGTACCAGGCACTGGTTGCTGTGGGCATCTCGCTTGTGTCCAAGGCGGCCCTACTCGGGATTCTCATGTCCGACGTGGCACCCGCACACCAGGAATCACACCAGCAGCTGGTGAGCTTCTTCGTAATCTTGTTTTTTTTTTTTTTCTTGCGTCTTTGATCTTGGCGCGTCATTCTTCTCGTGAATGTGGCTTCACCCCGTGTTCGGGTTAGCACGCCTGCTTTCTTGTCGTCCTCACATACTGTATTTTCACTCTGCCAATTGATTCGCGTGTGATGTTGTGCCCCCCCTTCCTATTCCTCGTCGAGTTGCTTGATGTTTGCACAAATAAACGGTAACCATCACCCCCGCTCCCCGGCACGTGTCCGTATACTGATATGGGTACTGATCTCCCCCCCAAACGTCCGCGGCCGATTCTCCGTTTTCTGCCGACCTTTTCCCGAAGATCGGTAGGTCAAGTCCACCATGCGCAAGCACGCAAGAAGGCCGGGGAAGGGGGAGCGTTTGTCCAATGGGATCTTCGCTGCCATCATCTGCGTGTACAGCTACGCCTTCGTCGGCGCAGCCAAGGCCCAATTCTCTGGGGGACAGAAAGGCGACGAGACAAACAACGTCTTCCTCGCGGCCGGGTGCCACGTGTGGGTAGCGGCGGTGTCACAAAATGTGGCGTCCTGCAGCAGCGGAGGTGGCGGTGCTGCTGTAGCTCGTAGACTTTGTAGTCTACCACAGAGGTTACACTGCTGTCACCGCTCTATCACAGAGGTTGGTCTACACTGCTGTGAGATCGGTAGGCCCGAGCGAGCTTTGTAAAGAGAAATGAATATAGATGTTCTTATCAACTGACTCCCTGGTTAGGCTTTAAATGGGTGTNGTGTGGGTAGCGGCGGTGTCACAAAATGTGGCGTCCTGCAGCAGCGGAGGTGGCGGTGCTGCTGTAGCTCGTAGACTTTGTAGTCTACCACAGAGGTTACACTGCTGTCACCGCTCTATCACAGAGGTTGGTCTACACTACTGTGAGATCGGTAGGCCCGAGCGAGCTCTGGAAAGAGAAATGTAGATAGATTTTCTTATCAACTGACTCCCTGGTCAGGCTTTGATGGGTGCTAGATGAGAGTGAGCACAAGGGGCGAAGGCGCGCATGTGTCTCATCTCAACAACAAAACGAAACAAAAAAACAAGCAGCAACACAGCAGGTTCGAAGGGTCTCCGGGGTAATGGCCCGAGTACCGGAATTTCGGGGTTCGGAACAAAAAAAAACGCCGGCATCTACACTCTCTGTATTCATGCGTGAATCGCCACACAGGGAACAACCCCGGAAAGTAGCGCTGTGGCGAAAACAACCCCCCCCCGACGGCTGCCACACACTATTTTTGTGTGTGGTGCCGGCATCTACACTCTCCGTATTCATGCGTGAATCGCCACACATGCAACAACCCTGAAAAGTAGCGCTGTGGCGAAAACAAACCCACCCCGACGGCTGCAACACACTATTTTTGTGTGTGGTGCCGGCATCTACACTCTCTGTATTCATGCGTGAATCGCCACACAGGCAACAACCCGGGAAGAGAGCGCTGTGGCGAAAACAAGCCCACCTTGACGGCTGCCACGCACTATTTTTGTGTGTTGTGCAGGCATCTACACTCTCTGTATTCATGCGTGAATCGCCACGCAGGGAATAACTCTGGAAGAGAGCGCTGTAGCGAAAACAAGCCCACCACCACGCCCGACACACACTCTTTGTGTGTGTGGTGCCGGCATCTACACTCTCTGTATTCATGCGCGAATCGCCACACAGGGAACAACCCTGGGAAGTAGCGCTGTAGCGAAAACAAGCCCACCACCACGCCCGACACACACTCTTTGTGTGTGTGGTGCCGGCATCTACACTCTCTGTATTCATGCGTGAATCGCCACAGAGAAAACAACCCTGGAAAGTAGCGATGTGGCGAAAACAAGCCCACCACCACGCGCGACACACACTCTTTGTGTGTGTGGTGCCGGCATCTACACTCTCTGTATTCATGCGTGAATCGCCACACAGGCAACAACCCGGGAAGAGAGCGCTGTGGCGAAAACAAGCCCACCACCACGCCCGACACACACTCTTTGTGTGTGTGGTGCCGGCATCTACACTCTCTGTATTCATGCGTGAATCGCCACACAGGCAACAACCCGGGAAGAGAGCGCTGTGGCGAAAACAAGCCCACCACCACGCCCGACACACACTCTTTGTGTGTGTGGTGCCGGCATCTACACTCTCTGTATTCATGCGTGAATCGCCACACAGGCAACAACCCGGGAAGAGAGCGCTGTGGCGAAAACAAGCCCACCACCACGCCCGACACACACTCTTTGTGTGTGTGGTGCCGGCATCTACACTCTCTGTATTCATGCGTGAATCGCCACACAGGCAACAACCCGGGAAGAGAGCGCTGTGGCGAAAACAAGCCCACCACCACGCCCGACACACACTCTTTGTGTGTGTGGTGCCGGCATCTACACTCTCTGTATTCATGCGTGAATCGCCACACAGGCAACAACCCGGGAAGAGAGCGCTGTGGCGAAAACAAGCCCACCACCACGCCCGACACACACTCTTTGTGTGTGTGGTGCCGGCATCTACACTCTCTGTATTCATGCGTGAATCGCCACACAGGCAACAACCCGGGAAGAGAGCGCTGTGGCGAAAACAAGCCCACCACCACGCCCGACACACACTCTTTGTGTGTGTGGTGCCGGCATCTACACTCTCTGTATTCATGCGTGAATCGCCACACAGGCAACAACCCGGGAAGAGAGCGCTGTGGCGAAAACAAGCCCACCACCACGCCCGACACACACTCTTTGTGTGTGTGGTGCCGGCATCTACACTCTCTGTATTCATGCGTGAATCGCCACACAGGCAACAACCCGGGAAGAGAGCGCTGTGGCGAAAACAAGCCCACCACCACGCCCGACACACACTCTTTGTGTGTGTGGTGCCGGCATCTACACTCTCTGTATTCATGCGTGAATCGCCACACAGGCAACAACCCGGGAAGAGAGCGCTGTGGCGAAAACAAGCCCACCACCACGCCCGACACACACTCTTTGTGTGTGTGGTGCCGGCATCTACACTCTCTGTATTCATGCGTGAATCGCCACACAGGCAACAACCCGGGAAGAGAGCGCTGTGGCGAAAACAAGCCCACCACCACGCCCGACACACACTCTTTGTGTGTGTGGTGCCGGCATCTACACTCTCTGTATTCATGCGTGAATCGCCACACAGGCAACAACCCGGGAAGAGAGCGCTGTGGCGAAAACAAGCCCACCACCACGCCCGACACACACTCTTTGTGTGTGTGGTGCCGGCATCTACACTCTCTGTATTCATGCGTGAATCGCCACACAGGCAACAACCCGGGAAGAGAGCGCTGTGGCGAAAACAAGCCCACCACCACGCCCGACACACACTCTTTGTGTGTGTGGTGCCGGCATCTACACTCTCTGTATTCATGCGTGAATCGCCACACAGGCAACAACCCTGGAAAGAAGCGCTGTATGTAGTGAAGACAAGCCCACCACCACGCCCGACACACACTTTTATTTTGTGTGGTGCCGGCATCTACACTCTCTGTATTCATGCGTGAATCGCCACACAGGAAACAACCCTGGAAAGTAGCGCTGTAGCAAAAAAAAACCGACGCCGACGTCTGCCACACACTATTTTTGTGTGTGGTGCCGGCAGCTACACTCTCCGTATTCATGCGTGAATCGCTACACAAGGAAAAACACTGGAAAGTAGCGCTGTGTGTGGCGAAAACAAGCCCACCCCGACTGCTGCCACACACTTTTTTTTGGGAGGTGCCGGCATCTACACTCTCTGTATTCATGCGTGAATCGCCACAAAGGAAACAACCCTGGGAAGTAGCGCTGTAGCAAAAAAAAACCGACGCCGACGTCTGCCACACACTATTTTTGTGTGTGGTGCCGGCAGCTACACTCTCCGTATTCATGCGTGAATCGCTACACAAGGAAAAACACTGGAAAGTAGCGCTGTGTGTGGCGAAAACAAGCCCACCCCGACTGCTGCCACACACTTTTTTTTGGGAGGTGCCGGCATCTACACTCTCTGTATTCATGCGTGAATCGCCAC